GCTGGATCTTGCAGAAGCTTAACTCCATCCAGCTGGCTCTCTATTTGTTAAAAAAAGATGCCACTGAAATTCAGTGACCCAAATTCAACAGTGTAATTGGAGGCTACTCTGGAAGCTGCAGAAATGTGCCTGAGGCAGTAACGTCTGCAGAGGATATCTGGGTGAATGTGTGTGTTTGTATGTGTGTGTGTACATTTGCAAGATGGCAGGAATGACATTGCAATGTACAAAAGGATCAGGGTGTCCATCATGGTGCCATGCCCACCATCTTGTAGGTTTTGACTAATCCCCTGAGGATGTCCATGGTCTGAAGACTGTATTCTGGAATTAAGCATGGGGAAAATACTCAACAAGTGCTAGAGAAATGGTTTATTGTGCTAAGTATTAGAAAGTTTCAATTTAAGTGCTTCCTTCTTCCAAAGAAAACTATAATACAAACAAGCAAATAGTAACTGAGTAATCTTTAATCTTTTATATTTGGAGGTTTTCTTGCTTTTGATAACTTCATCCCTTATTCCTTAAATGTTTTGTATTGGTTTGAATTCATAAATAAATATCTTAACAGTCTTACATAATTATCCTATATTAACTGTTTAGGATGAGCTAGACATTTGTAATCCAAAATGTCAAAATGAAATGAGGCAGAGTTAAAGCATTTTATCAAGTGTTGATTTTAATCATTATCATTATTATAAAATTCTTCAAGATCTTTGCAGGGGGAAAAAATATCATTAAGGCAATTGTCAGTCTCACAGCACAAACAACTTTTTATTGACCCTAAATGCAGTGCTGAAGATGAGCAAAGCTCATCCACTTAAACATTTCATTTGCATATTGAGAATGTATTAAAAGTTAGTTAACATTAAATATGTTTTTTTCCAACCCAACAAAATGCAAGAAAGAAATTATGAAATGAGGCTCAGGACTTTATCAATTTCTTTGTCTCCAGGATAATTCTCTGGAAGCTGAACAAAAGCAGATTATATTTGGTGTTGGAGAAATAACCTGACCAAAAAAACCCACACCCTTAAAAATGGGCCAGATCCAGGGGTGAAATGCTCCCTGTTCGGACCGGATTGCCTGATCGTCAAAGGCTTTTTAAAGCATTTTTTCTACAACCTCTTCAGAGATTATAGAAAAAATGCTTTTAAAAGCCTCTGACGGTCCCAGCTGAGTTGCCTGATTGGCAGAGGCTTTTTTTCTTTTAAAAACATTTTTTCAACAACCTCTTCGGCCAAAAAAAGAAAAAAAGCGTCTGTCGATCAGGCAACTCAACTGGGATCGTCAGAGCCTTTTGAAAACATTTTTTTAACAACCTCTTTGCCGAAGAGGTTGTAGAAAAAATGGTTTTAAAAGTTAAAAAAAAATTGACCACGCCCACCCAGTCACATTACCCCCCCAAGCCACGCCCACAGAACCGGTAGTAACAAATTTTAAATTTCACCACTGGCCAGATCCTTCTGGAAGAGGCAGATGGCCAGTTGCCTGTATTGTTGCTGACTGTCTCAATTTTAACTCCCTTTTTCCATCCTCTTGATAACATGCTGCTTTATTACAAGTGCCTGTTGTGGCTTCTATTAGTACTGGGGATTGAGGTTCCAGGAGCCATTTTCCACTTGGTTTTCCTACTTAATACATTATAAAACTAAAGTACTGCTTTGCAAACTTGGTCTCATTCCATTCTACAAGAAATCTGTACATTAATCACTGTGGAAGAAATGATGAATCTTCCGACAAGTGCTAGTATTTTATGTTCTGTGTCTATAGTTATAGCTATGTCTTTGAAAAATGTGAAAGATAAAGTGCCTTTGAGTCAAGCTTAAGCCATGATAACTTCTGGGATATGTTTTTGACTTTCCAAACCAGCCTACAGTTCAGGACTTTTCTGGTGGTTTCCGATCCAAAAACGCACCAGTTCTAACGCTTCTTAGCTCTTTGATACGATCCCAATCTTTTTCTTTATGTGAACCACTACATTGTCACTGATGGACTAGTACCAGGGGTGAAATCCAACAGGTTCTAACAAGTTCTGGAGAACTGGTAGTGGAAATTTTGAGCAGTTTGGAGAACCGGCAAATACCACCTCTGGCTGGCCCCAGGAGTGGGGAGGGAATGGAGATTTTGCAGTATCCTTCCCCTGGAGTGGGGTGGGAATGGGGATTTTGCAGTATCCTTCTCCTGCCATGCCCACCAAGCCACACCACGCCCACCAAGCCACGCCCACAGAACCAGTAGTAAAAAAATGTGGGTTTCACCACTGACTAGTACTGCCCTTAGCAGTATGAAATCTGTGTGCACTCTGCTGTGTGATGACCTGTTGGATATTAAGATTAATTTTTTAAAAAATGAATTAATAGGCAGAAACTGATGAGATCACAAAACCTCTTAAGATTTGGTTTTCCCATCTGAAATTTTGGGAAATAAACCCACTAGATTTCAAGCAGGAATGCTAGAGACTTTACCCAGCACACACATGTATCTTCAGTATCTTTTTTGACAAAACCTAAAATCAGACTCCATCAATGTACTGGCTTCAGTATGTAAATTCTGCCCCTGTTATTGAAGCTGTATTCATTGTTCCTAATCCCTGGACTTGAGATGCCAGCGCAATCCTCAAACACTGTTTCCAAGAATAATAATGTGGAGAAAAGCTGGAAGTTATTCAATGCAATGGAATTCCAGGAATATTTTGAAAAATAAAACCAAGGTCTCTGCTTCTTTCAGATTAGTCTTTTATCACATCATATTGCAGAGAGTCACTTATCACTTCTTTTATCTATGTTTAGACAGAAATTGGAAGACTGCAAAATTTAATCAATGAGCTATAATTATAGCAACCTCATAAAATCTTTCTCCCTCTTCATTCTTGGTGTGGCTGGGGAAATTGTAATGTCAAGTAGCACTGTACAGATTCCAAATTTTGGCAAGAGTAGCTCTATCACCAGATGAGGCCTAGATCTGAGAGTAGGCATTAGACAAAAACATTGATCCTGGAGTTTGGCCTGCCTCCATGAATCTGTCTTCACTGATCATTCACTTGCCCTCTGCTCACTCTACACTCCTGCCTTGAGAAGAAGTTAGTGGAACTTCTCTTGTTCTTGTCACTGCTCTCCACTGTCTTGGAGACAGCAGCTGAAGAAGCATTAAGAGGGGAGGTGGAAATGCTCAGGATGTGGTGGGATTATTCAATTTGCAGGTGAACACTGATTTTAGAAGAAGACATCAACGTTTAAATAGCCACTGGAATTCTTTGATAGAAAGATTTCAAAAAGAGAAAAGAACAGTGTGTGTGTGTGTGGGGGGAGAGAATACCTAATTTTACAATGGCAGCAGAGGTGGGTTTCAGCAGGCTCTGACCAGTTCTGGAGAACCAGTAGCGGAAATTTTGAGTAGTTTGGGCACAGCATACAGCTAGAAGAATGGGAAAGAGTGTGGGAAACTAACTACAGCATGACAAAATCGGTAGCCTACAAAGAAAATCATTATAAGATGTGGTATTGATGGCATCTGGCCCCCGCAAGACTAGCGAAAATGTACCCAAATGTAGATCCGACCTGTTGGAAGTGCAGAAAAACACAGGGAACTTTTTACCATGCTTGGTGGCTCTGCCCAGTAATTAAGAAATACTGGAACAAGGTAAGGATATGGATAAGAGAAATTACAGATTGTGAAATTGAATTAGAACCTGAGATTTTTCTATTAGGCATGAGCAAAAAGAACATCCGAAATGACATAAAATACCTAATGCTTCATATAATCACGGCGGCAAGATTAGCGTTAGCACAATTTTGGAAAAGTGACCGACTGCCAACGGACCAGGAATTAATACAAAAAATATATACATGCGCAGAAATGGACAAACTAACTTTAGAGTTACAGGATAAGGAGGACTCTAAATATTATGTAACATGGAATAGATGGTACCAATGGATAAACCAGAGGAAAGGAAATGGGTAGAGATGAAACTTAGAAGAAATTAATATAACAAAAAACAGCACTGTCAGAGGGATAGAATATGGAATATCTTACTGTATGTTTGTATATATGTACATATAATACACATAATATATGTACATAGAATAATGGAAATTAGTCAATAGGTGAAGTTTATGTACTGTATATGTAAATTTGTTTCTCGTTTGAGAGAAACTTGTATGTTTTTAAATGTTTTTTTTTAATAATAAAGTTTAGTTAAAAAAAAGAAGAAGAAGAAGACATCAACGTTTAAATAGCCACTGGAATTCTTTGATAGAAAGATTTCAAAAAGAGAAAAGAACAGTGTGTGTGTGGGGGGGGAGAGAATACCTAATTTTACAATGGCAGCAGAGGTGGGTTTCAGCAGGCTCTGACCAGTTCTGGAGAACCGGTAGCGGAAATTTTGAGTCGTTTGGAGAACCGGTAGTAAAAATTCTGACTGGCCCCGCCCCCATCTATTCTATGCCACCCAAGTCACAGCTGATCGGGAGGAAATGGGGATTTTGCAGTAACCTTCCCCTGGATTGGGGAGGGAATGAAGATTTTACAGTATCCTTCCCCTGGAGTGGGGTGGGAATGGAGATTTTACAATATCCTTCCCCTGTCACGCTCACCAAGCCACACCCACCAAGCCATGCCATGCCCAAGCCACACCCACAGAACCGATAGTAAAAAAATTTGAAACCCACTTAACTACTGGGCAATTAAGTGGCAGGCTTTCAAACTGGCTCCATCATCTTCTCACCCTGTATTGTAATTACAATATAATTAAGAATATAGCGTAATTTGGGGAAAGCAAAGCGCTAATCTGGCTAGCAACCTCTATGGTGGTAAACAAAGGTCAGTGAGAGTGCTGATATAATCACATTGACTATAGAAATTTTTTCCATCCCCACTACTCTTTCTCCCTTCTTTTTATGTACATAATAATGCAGGAGAATTTACTTTGTGTTCAGTATTTGGATGCTTCCATCTTTCATTGACCAAACTGCTGCCTTTTCTATCTTTTTTATGTTTATTTTTAGTGCAGTGCTGTTTATGCAAAAAGAAGGAGCGGAACCATCTTACCATGAAGCCTGAAAGATTATTTCCTTGAATTTCTTTCTGGATGCATAAAGGAAAAGGAGTGTCTTACCCCTGACAGTGCCAATAGGGTGTTAATGGCCACATAAACTGGAAAAGGCCGTTCAAAACAGCACATGTAAAAAAAAAAAAAACCCACCAAAAAAATAAAAACAACCACACAGGTTACCCTTTAAATGTGCTGTGACATGAAGTGGAAGGTTTAAAAGCATATTTCTGGGCAATTAATTCGAGCAATAATTCTAGTAGCTAGAGTTGTCATTTGTGAGTACAAGGGTGTTCATGGCTAGTGCAATCAGCAAAGGGAAAAGGAAAGTGCTTGGAGGTCAGAAGGGGATGTTAAAATATTTTGACAGTTCACATCTATGAGGCTGGCTTAATGAAATGCTTTAGCCAACAACTTTTACAAGGATTGAAATGGAACCTATTCATTTCTCTCCAGTATGCTATTCAGTAACTATTGGTTAAGATACTGGATTGGCCATTAATTATCATTGCACGCCTGTTGAATGAAGCTATCTATCAAGCTGCATGGCCAGTTATTTACATTCTATACCATGGTAAAGCAGCATTAGGAATTGCTTTAAAACAATTCTAAAATGGGCCGTAAACTAAAGGAATGAACCTGAGCTCAGCTCCTTTTTCCACTCAGTCATCACAAGGGATATCCAGAAGAAATGTCTGCCAAATTTCAAATTATATTGTAGGCAGGCTGGCAACTTCTTGTGGAAAAATAAAAAAGTTCTAGCAAAAAGGAAGGAAAGAAGGAAGAAAGGAAGGAAGGGAGGGAGGGAGGGAGGGAAAGAAATGTGGGAGGAAGGAGGCAGGGAGCAGGGGTGCTATTCAGCAGGTTCTGACAGGTTCTGGAGAACCAGTAGCAGACATTTTGAGTAGTTCGGAGAACCAGCAAATACCACCTCTAGCTGGCCCCAGAGTGGGGTGGGAATGGAGATTTTGCAATATCCTTTCCCTGGAGTGGGGTGGGAATGGAGATTTTGCAGTATCCTTTCCCTAGAGTGGGTTGGGAATGGAGATTTTGCAGTATCCTTTCCCTGGAGTGTTTTTGGAATGGAGATTTTGCAGTATCCTTCCCCTGATATGCCCACCAAGCCACGCCCACAGAACCGGTAGTAAAAAAAAAAAATGAATTCCACCACTGGGAAGGAGGTGTCAGCCCTGGAGCCATTTTCCCCTGGCATCTTCAGGCTGCCACAGTGGAGGCCAGTCAAGCTGTGGGAAAGGGGATGGGGAGGTAGAGATAGCAAGGGGATGTAACCAAAATAAAATTCTTTCTTCTGAGAACCAAGGATGCTCCCACCAGGTTCAAGGAGGCGGGATGTGAGGCCAGATGAACTTTGGTTGTGACCTGATTGGACCATGTGATGGACTGCATGGGTAAGGGGAGGAAAAATGTATTTTTAACTAAGGAGAAACCTGAGGGGTCTTTAGAGTTGGGTTTCTCCAGATTGTGCCAATATGACCTACCTGTTGTGACTCCGACCCCCGAGGCCGATTTATCGGAGGGAGAAGGCTCCGAACATGAAGGAGAGGAGTTGGCCAGGCCTCCCTCTCCAGGACCCTCCTCTCTGGCAATGCCTCAGGTGTCTCCCGGAGGAGAAGAGATTGGCCAGGAGCCAGATATCTCCTCGCAGTCGGACAGTGACAGAGATAAGTCTTGGCTGGATCCACGCCAGTGTCGGAGAGACAAGCGCACACAGCAGAAAAGGAGGCGTGCCAGAGATTAAGCTGAGTCACTGGACCACACCCACAGGGGATAAAAGGGGGTGAGGTGGCCATTCAGACTCTGTGATGGACAAAACTAAACTACTAGTGAGTCACATTGTATCTTTGGAAACAACGTTATCTGCCTTGGATTTAATAGGGACTGGACTTGACAATTCTTGAACTGTGTGTATCTTGTTTGGGTTTATCTGATGGAGGAACAACCCCTCCCTCTATGAGTAAAGTTCTTGGCAAGCAGCTACTGGGTTGCTGCCAATCCTCTTATCGAAAGAATTTGTTGTCTGCAAGTTTTATTTAACCCCTGGCTGTCTGTTTGTGTGCATGTGTGAGACGGGGACAGAACACTACCTAATAAATCTATACTTTGAAGAATATGCCTACCTCAGAGTTTTGATTCTTTTGGGGGTGTTACTTGGAACCCTGACAGGAGGGGGGGAAAGTATGAAATATGCTGATAAATAGGACTGAATATTTTTTTAATTTCTAGGTTAGAAGCTTTTTAGTGGTGAGTTGGTGAAACAACTCCCTAGTTGGTGAAACAACTCGCTGCAGAGCATTTCTCTTCATCTGATAGTTGGATTTCTCAAATGGGACAAATGATTCCTATTGCAGTGGTATTGATATGCTCTCACCTCTTTCATCAGAGCAACAAAAGCAACATCACTTGTTGCGAAATCACAATACATGTAGATAAGCAGTAGGACTTTTGTTGCAATGCAGTGAAGCTGCTTTTAACACTCTGAACCCTGCTGTCCTCCCCATGAACACTGCTGCACATATGAATTTTGATACATACGAGGAGGAGGTAACTTAAATGAAGAGGGAACAATTTTTAAAAATCTAAATTGTGCATATGTTTCAATAGCTATATTTAATTAATGTTTACCACCCTTGGAATACTGCATCCAGTTTTGGTTGCCACGATGTAAAAAAGATGTTGAGACTCTAGAAAGAGTGCAGAGAAAATCAATAAAGATGATTAGGGGACCAGGGGCTAAAATATACGAAGAACGGTTTCAGGAACTGGGTATGTCTAGTTTAATGAAAAGAAGGACCAGGGGTGACATGATAGCAGTGTTCCAATATCTGAAGGGTTGCTACAAAGAAGAGGGGGTCAAGCTGTTCTCCAAATCACCTGAGGGCAGGACAAAAAGCAATGGATGGAAACTAATCAAGGAGAGAACCAACCTAGAACTAAGGAGAAATTTCCTGATAGTTAGACCAATCAATCAGTGGAACAACTTGCCTCCAGAAATTGTGAATGACCCAACACTGGAAGTTTTTAAGAAGAGATTGGACAACCATTTAGAATAGAATTCTTTATTGACCAAGTGTGATTGGACACACAAGGAATTTGTCTTTGGTGCATATGCTCTCAGTGTACATAAAAGGAAAAAAAGGAAAAAGAAAGAAAAAAACATTCATCAAGAATCACAAAATACAACAGTTAGTGATAGTCATAGGTAACTAATAAGCAATCAAATCATACTAGGAAACAAACAGAACAATATAAATCGTAAAAATACAAGCAACATGGTTATAGTCATAAGTGGGAGGAGATAGGTAATAGGAAGAATAATAATAGTAATACAGTCTTATTTGACAGTGTTGTGGGAATTAGTTGTTAAGCAGAGTGATGGCATTTGGAAAAAAAACTGTCCTTGTGTCTAGTTGTTCTGGTGTGTAGTGCTCTATAGCATCGTTTTGAGGGTAGGAGTCCGTTTCTATGGTTTTGAGTGTGTTTAGTTCAAAATTGTTCTGATTATTATTTCAGACAAATAACATTTGTCTGAAATGTTATAGGGTTTCCTGCCTGAGCAGGGGGTTGGACTAGAAAATCTCCAAGGTACCTTCCAACTCTGTTATTCTGTTCTGTTCTGTTCTGTTCTGTTCTGTTAACACACCCATGTTATAATTTACTGCAGTCATTACAGTATTGCATTTCTAACAATGGTACATGGGTAACAAAAGACCAATTTTCTTGATTAGCATGTAGTACAATTCCCTAGTTGCATCAAAATAGCCAGTGCAAGTCATGCAATTGATACATTTCATCCTAGAAGGGCATTTTTGAGCATGCATTTTGAGCTTAAATAGTATAGTTTGAGAAAGTAGGCTATGTTTGCATAATGTGCAATTATACAGCATGCCCTCTTATTTTATTTTATTTTGTTGCAAGAGGCCCAGTACGCATAAAACAATCTGTCTCTCCAAACACATTTTTCATCAGCAGTTATCCAGGAAAACAAAATAAATGAACACATGGATATACATACACAATTAAGCCTTTGCTTACACAATATTAGAAACCTCCTGGAATGTGGTAAGTGAGAAAAATCAATATAGAATATTCCCAAATCAGCAGCAGCCATCAATCCCCTTTGCCCTGTGTAAATATAGTGTTCTCCCATCCCCGTCTCTGCTTCAGCCAAATCGCAGTAAAAAATGGGACATAGATGCAGTTCTTTGAATCCCTTTGGATCAGCTGACAAAAGCCCAATGTCCTTTTATAATAATAATGGAGCTAAGTGCAATGTCCCAGGTCTGACTGACACAAAGTGTTGGGCTGTCTTTGCATCGTGTTCTGTTGCCTTTTTGCTCCTCACAGTAATAGCCCTGAGCAGTTCCTACCAGCATTGGACACTGAAGAAATAAGAATCAATGTGAGAAAAGACTGTCAAAGACCAAATAATATAGAAAACGAAACTGGATGCCAAAACAGACAGTGGGAATTACAGGAAAGGGAAGGGAAGGAAGAGAAGGGAAGGGGAGGTTAAGGGAGAGAAGGGAAGGAAAGGGTAGGGAAAGGAAAGGAAAGGAAAGGAAAGGAAAGGAAAGGAAAGGAAAGGAAAGGAAAGGAAAGGAAAGGAAAGGAAAGGCAAAAAAAAAATCAAGAATGAGTTTAACAAAGATTTTCAGAGAACTATTAGAAGAAACAAGAAGCAATATTACAACAATATCTGCAAAGGCAAGATAGAAACAGACATGGAAAATCAAGGAAAGTCTTCCAAAAGATCTCTGAATTCAGAAGGAGACTCTAGCCTTGAATTGTTATGCTAAAAGATGCCAAAGGATTGATAATAACTAATTTAAACAATATCAAACCAAGTTGGAAGACATATACTGAGATTCTATGCAGTGGTGAGATTCAAGTAATTTAACAACCAGTTCTCTGCCCTAATGATTTCTTCCAACAACCACTTTGCCAAACTGCTCAGAAAGTTAATAACCAGTTCTCCCGAAGTGGTGCGAACTGGCTGAATCCCATCACTGATTCTATGCAGTAGAAGTATCGACAATACTTTAGAAGAGGGATTCTCAAACTTTCTTAGTGCATGGTACCCTTAGTTTTATAGTAAAGTTTTCATGGTGTCAGTGGGCCAAAACTGTAAATTACCTTGAGCTAGTTCTCAAAAAATAAAAATAAA